CACGCCCTGTGCACCCACACGTTTACACTGCATCACAAACATTGATTGATGCCAAACATTACACTGACGAATTTAGTTCAGGTCCTAAATAACTTTATCAGTACAGTACTTTAACATCTAACCGGTACACTCAGGTTGTTGCACCAAATAGTTCTCGTCATTGTGTTGCCGTGGATGTTTTCCGCCATGTTATTCCGTAGATTGAATCCGCTATCGTTTTACTCATTCTTCAGGCATGGAAATAGCCTTACAGGAAAAAAGTAAAGGAATACTTTACGAAGGCTATACGAAGTCATTTCGTCAGTGCATCTTCGAAGAAGGAGACGTTGTCGGAAAGAACGAGCGATATGAATTTCGGTTTGTCTATCGCCTTCCTCGTTAGATTGATTTTTTTGCTTTTTTACTGCCTTGCAGCGAGTAATGTAGTCTTATCTCGACGATTTGAAATGTGAATTAGGGTATTATAGAATGGTAAAGGCCAAGCCAATGTGCACCTTGGTATTCCCATCCCCCTCCCCCCCCCCCTCCGACAAATCTGGTACCAGAGGTTGAAAGTTTGGTTGGCCTAGGCGGAAGCCGAGCCGGGATTTGATCCCCGGACCGTGCCCTTTACACCATCTAATGTAAAGAGGCTTCCACGTTTCCTCGCGATAGCATGTAAAACAACCACGCAGGGAGAAACCCTCCATAACTCCGTTCAGAGAACCGTTCCGCAAATTCTGAAGACAGATTTGAGTTCACCGTCTCAAAACGCGCACAACGGTGTGCACCTCATTGGAAATGGCCAGGCTGACCTGTTGACCTTTCCTGGTCAGCATCCTCATTTCAGCTGAGTGGAGCTGCCTTTCATGGTTCTTGCAGATAGGGCCAGCACTCACTGCCGTAGAGCATTGTAGGCCTTACCACCGCCCGGTACACCTTGCCCTTGAGCGTTCTCGAGCACCGCCGGTCGCACAGGATGCCAGTGGACTCCCTCCATTTCATCCAGGCTGCGTTGATTCGGGCCTTCACCGCCTGGTCCACGCTGCCATCAGCTGCTAGGTCGCTCCCCAGGTACTGGAAGTCCTCGACCCTTTCGATGCTCTCGCCATGGCAGTCTACGATGGGTTCGTTACACTCTTCGGAGCTCATGGGTCTTCTTCACGTTCAGCCGGAGTCCATTCTCAGCGAGCACATCCTGCCACCGCTGCACCTTGTCCTGGAGTCTTCCTGCTGTCCGCTATCAGGGCGATGTCGTCAGCGTAGAGGATGGTTTTCAGTGGTCCCTCCATGAGTTCTTTTGCCATGACATCTAGAGTCAGGAGGAAGAGGAACGGGCTGATTGTTGACTAGCGTAGCAGCAGTCTGCCGCTTCTCTCGTACTTACTCTTCCCATCAGCTGTCTGGCGATGAAGATGGCATCTGATGGACCTTTCGGGCATGAAGCCGAAGTGTTCCTGCAAGATAAGAACAGGTTCCCTCAGCCTAGCGTTGACCAGGCGCTCGTACAACTTCATGGTATGGGGAGTCAACTTGATGCCGCATTAGTTGGAACACCAGGTCGCGTCCCCTTTCCTGTAAGATGGGGACGATTGTGCTGCTCCTCCAGGCATTCGGCATCCTTCCCCAAGCGGTTACATTGTTTTAGAAAGTCTGTTAGCCAACTCACCCCAAGCTCTCCCAGGGCCTTCCATGCCTCTATTGGTACCCCGTCTGGACCCACTGCTTTCCCAGCTTTCATTCTCCCTTGCTCACAGCGGACTTCATCCTTCGTCCGGGGCGTGATGGGATTTGCCGTCGCCTCTACCTGTGGACTGTCCTTGCGAGGGAATTCTTCGTTCAGTAGTCCCTCGAAGTGTTCTTCCCACCTCTTTATGACTTCGGCTGGTTTCCTGGTGATGGATCTTGCTGCTCTTCACAGATTTTACGACCCTGATGTCTTCTGCAGCGCGCAGATGCCGAGCTTTAGCCAGGCGGGAGACGAACTTGTCCCCTTCTCGGCCCTCCAGCTTCTCGTACAGAGCGATTTCCGTATTGTTGGCCTTAGCAACGGCCTGCCTTACAAGGGAGGGTCGTCAGGGCGCTGGTGCCTCTTTTCGAAACACGGTTTTTTGCATATTGTAGGGGCTCATACAAGGACCTGAAAGCGTGCTTCATTTTCGCTGCGCGCTTCCAGGAACGGTAAAAAACGAGTGAAAAGAAATCTTTTGGAATCTGCTTCGTTCTGGGCCTCTTTACGGCGTAGGTCACTTGCAACTTTGACCAGTTGCTGAGTGGGGGGTCCTTATAAAGGGGCTATTTGAATCGAAGCGAAAAATCGCCGCAAGTGAGCTTCCAACTTGGGTCATGTGCTCAAGGGTGAACGGCTCTTCACAGTGGTTTATTCAAGGATAAGGAGCGCAGCCAGGCCTCGTAGCATCGGGATGGTTCTCTAGCGGATAAAGAGGAGGTTTCGCAATCGGACAGTGAGGGTGGGGTTGATGGTTCGGCTCCCCTTTCGTCGTTGTGCCTTTTTGCATTTTTTTGATTTCGCTGTTCTCGCTTCCATTTATGTCTGCGCATGAATATAACTCGGATATTTGGGATATTTGCCATTTATGGGCACATTCTGAGTAGCTGTACCTCATGAGTCAGTGCTGTCCAACTATTTCGATTACCACTGAGCAAGATGTTGCTGGCACCGGTTGATCCTCATTAGGCTAATACAGCTGCCGATTAATGCGAATTAGTAACTTCTGGTTGGTAGCGTCATTATAGACAATTTGGGGCCACATCTTCTTTCCAATGAATTCGTTATGTAAACCAATATAGGGAACGTTCACCGCTATTCTGTCGTTAAAGTGCGTGGACGCCAAGAATAGGTGTTATATTTGTGACAAGGGCCACACTTGCATTAGCACTAAAAAACGAATTTTCTCGTCAAAAACAATTGTTTTGACCTTCTTGGGTTTGCTTACTGGGTTGTCCGGGGTCCGTAGCGCCAACGATACGTCATCGCTGTTACGAAGATGTGAGACTCCGCTCACACTGCCGACCAAATGGTCGGCCACCTACAACCCGAAAAAGTCAAAAAAATTTTTTCGCTCAAAACTTGCTCCTAGGGGTAATCGACAGTCCTGATCACGATTCTGCACTTTATTTTCGGTTTCAGTGCCATCTGGCACCGGCATAGCGCCGAAGAGCTGAGTCTGTGCATACTAACGAATTCGAACGAAAAAACAGTTTTGCTACATAAAAGTAGGATTGTTCAGTTTATCGTGAATGTTTTCGTTAGGACCAATTATCTAGACAAACATGGATCCAAAAAATGAAAAATTGTAGAAA